AGGCAAGGCGGTTATTAAGACGCATCACTCCTCCAAAACCACACCGCTGCTCAGAATGACCCATATCAAACGGAAGCAGGTCACAGCCCCAAACAACAAGAATCAGGGGACCAGCCGGCTGTCGTGCAATCTTCTCGATTGCTCAAGAAACACTGAGTCCAAAAAAAGGGCGACAGTTGAAAGAAGGAGGTTACCAAAAAAAAAAAAAACAAGAAAAAGAGCAATCTCTTGCTAAATGAAAAGGCGCAACCGAATGATATAGTCATCTCGGCAAAAGGCATAGCGAGCTTCTTGGAGATCCTGCGGAGAGTCCAACGGAAAGAGAAGTTTTGAAAAATCGGTAGCGAAAATAAGAAGGACCCGAGAAGAAGAGCTGCTTCTTTAGCTCAACAATTCAGGGGAACAAATAACAGCATTTAGAAGCCTGGCTTGCGAAACGCTAGGCGAAAATGCAAAGATCCCGACGTTGTCCCATTGAGTAACATAACATAAAGTGCATAGATCTGGGCGAGACTACGACCAAAGAAAACATCTGCGAAGCGCTCAGAGGTCAGATGCAGCTTCTGGACGTATCCCCAGAAAATATTATCTGCGGAATGCGTATGGCCGCAATAATACCGGCGGAAAACGCTAAAAAGCGCTATCAGTAAGTGCCGCGAGCGGGTAAACATAACCAGATATTTTAGATGGCTGGATTTAGGTAGATCAAACCTGTGCGGAGGGGATCCCGGGACGCGGTAGAAAAGTCCACCTAGCTAGGGACTGGCAACACGAGCCAAAGTGCATGCTCTGCACTGACTCCAAACATATTGATGCCAGCTTATGACCAGTGTTCAGTAGAAGGTACCCAGCTGAACCTCAACCATTGTGAAGGAGCCCAGAATTTGCTGACGCAATCAGCCAAGGAGAGGCAGACCGATGTCGCAATAATTTACGAGCCATTCGAGCCCATCGTTGTGAGTAGCTGGGCTTCAAGTAAATGCGGCTATTTGGTCCCTTAAATCACCGCTCCAGGAAGTGAGAGCTAAAATCAGAGGATTCACTATCTAAAGTTGCTACACCCCGCTAAGCTAGGAGCTGCGGCGATTTCCGACATATCCGAAGACGGTCGCCATAGAGTTTCCTTGTCATAGCCGGGGACTTATACGCTTGAACTGAGGAATGGGAAAGAAAGGAAACTAACGCGAGAGGGACCAGTCTGCTGGAATAATTCCCGTCGAGCGATATGGGCCTTGATAATATCGGGCAGCAGCTCACATATTGCAGGTTCAGAGGTGGTCTTATAGAACTTACCTTACCCAGCAAGTCGCTATAAAGACAGAATACGTAGAAAATACGCGATGAATTCACATTCAGCGAACATGAAGCGGTCCATATAGAAATCCACGAAATACGACGGAAACAACGGCAGCCTAAAACAAAAAGCACTAAATGGAAGGACGGACACTGTCAGTACACTCGCCACAATAATCGACGGACTGTTCCCAACCACCACAACTAGATTCAGTCAATTGCTCACGTTGAACGGAACTAGTGCAGCAGGTGTCGACAGATGGTGTGCCAACCATAGCGCTGAAACTAGCCATGTCAATGAAACCAGAAGTCTTCGCCGAAACATATTACAGATGCCTGCAGGACGGAGTACTCCCTAAGAGATGGACTCGACAAAGGACAAGCCAGTCGAGGGACCATCGGAATTTAGGCCAATCTGCCTATTGGAGATGGCGGGAAAGACCGTAGAGTATTGTATTTAACCGACCGACGAACCGAGGAGAAAGAGGCACTTTCCAAACACACTTCACAAAGGTATACGGTTGACGCAATTAAAGCGGTGGTGGATATTGCAGATGAAGCTATAGATGGTACCCGATGGAGGTGGTGGGAAATGGAGTCTTTGGTTGCGCGGTGGTTTCCTTGTACATCCATTATGCATTTAACTCAGCTAGCTGCTCACGCAGCGTTTTCCCTTTTCCGTATAACTTGTCCGATCGAGTATTGAATTATGACTCAGAAGACGGTGAAAAGAGTTACAGGGTCTCAGCAGGGGTCCCACAGGGTTCGTTCTTGGGACCACTCCTGCGGAACATAATGTCTGAAGAGGTGCTTGGAGTGCAATTGCCTCACGGATGCAGAATCATAGAATTCGCAGATGGTCTGGGTCTAGTAGTGGTGGGCAAAGAGATACGAGATGTAGAAGCGGCAGCGAATGCAGTGTGGCCAGCTGGATGTGTGGCACTAGCCTGGAGCTGGTAGGCCATATTTTGTAGATTGCGTTAGTCTGAAAGCATCCAAAAAAGCAGTCGGCGAAGGGGGCGCAGGACTGGTAGACGTTGGCTCCTCGCGAGAGTAGAAGCCTCCGTTCTACAGTATGCCGCACAAATACGGGCATCAGCGGTAGCCAGAAAGGCTTCCTAAGGAAGCTGACAATCCCTTACAGGGTCACCGCACCCCCCGGTGTCTCTGGATTTCGGACGTGTTTGGGACTAGGCTGCCACTGTACTGACGGGCACCCCGCCAGTGGATATAATTACGAAGAACGGCATCCGAAGATCGGAAAAAGCATCATCGATGGTGACTTGGTAGGAATGATGGAATGTGGCGAACCAAGGAAAATGGACTCACAAACTTATACCCAATCTAGAGCTATTTTTTACTGGATACGGAGGAAAACGGCGGGTACTGGAAGTATCTTCACAGATTCAGACGCGATGACACTCCTAATGTCTACTAATGTCACTATACTAATGTCCAAGGTACAGAGATGCAGTAGGATTTGTGCCCCCACCTGATGGACTAGTGACGTTTATGTTGAAGGGAGAAAACTACTAGCATAGGAGGCCCAGGGCAGGTAGACGTCGGCTCATCGCAAGAGTCGTAGCCTCCGTTCTACTGTACGTAGCACCAATATGGGCATCAGCGATAGCAAGCCAGAAATGCCTCAGTAGCAAGCCAGAAATGCCTCAGTGCATGTCAGCGCACTCCGCGTTATCTCTGGATTCCGGATGATATCAAACGAGGCAGCCACTGTACTGGTGAGCCGCCAGTGGAGGGAAATGGCAAAAATATACGCAGGCAGGATAGTGATGGATAATGCTGTCTCAATGTACGTCATCCGTAGATCGGAGAGAGCAGCATCAATGGCAACCTGGCAGGAAAGATGGAATGCGGCCAATAAAGGAAGATGGACCCACCAGCTTATTCCCAACCAGGAGCAATGGACCAACAGACGGAAAGGGGAAATGCACTTGCACCTTACCCAGTTTTCTACTGGACATGGTGGATACAGGAAGCATCTCCATAGATTCAGGTAAGAGACACTCCAGAGTTCCCGAATCGCTCAAATCTGGACGAAGACCTGGAACATGTGCCCGAGCTACAGAAACAGTAGGATTCGTGCCTCTACCTGAGGGGCTGCTGACGTTCATGCTGGAAGGAAACAATAATTGAAGAGATCTGGGCCAGCTCATTATATGCATATGCATATATGAGGGATCTGAGATAATGCGAAGAGCGGCAAAGAATATAGACAGCCTTAAATAGGCAAAATCTCCCACGAAGTAATACAAACGTGCATACGGACCATCAGTATCTTACGAAGACTTTCACCATGCATCCCATTGGTAAAGTACGCGGCTATTTAAGTCATACTGTCATACTGGCACAAGAAGCACACTCAGCAAAGCTGGTCGCGAGCCAGGCATTTTTCGAGACAGCAAAGCACTTGGGTCAGATATTTACACCTATAGTGATCACTTTGCTATAGCGGACGGAGTATTCCCTATGCGATTAAAGCGACAGAGATTAATCCTTCTACAGAAGGGCGATCAAGAAGAAGGGGATTGTGTATACCCGGTTAATTATATTGCGTCAAGTGTGAAAACAGTTTTGAGATACTCTTTTACTCCTGCATCCAATTTCCAAAATGTTGTGCAGATTGCCCAGAGGCGCGATTTTAAACATTATACTATCCCAAAGGATGTGGTTCTTTTCATGAGTAATACATATGAGGAATCCGATTAATTTTTATTTTTATTTTAAAAGCATGGGCGATAAGGACGGTGCGCTTCAGATTACCATTGTGAATCAAAACAGCCAACGATTTCTTCGAATTAAGGGACAGAAGGAAACCACTTTATTACTGTAAAGAATATTTATTCCTGGCTAGCATCGATCCTGACATGTTTGTCTGTCTGTGTTTACATATGTATAAACGTTTTTATACCCTGAACCCATTAAAAATGGGTATAAGGGTATATAGCATTTGTGCGAAATCCAAATGTATGTAACAGGCAGAAGGCAGCATCTCCGACCCCATAAAGTATACACATTCTCGATCAGCAATAATAGCCGAGTTGACTTAGCTATGTCTGTCTGTATGTCTTTCCGCCCGTGTGTCTGTCCGTCCATCCATATGTATGAACGCAAGGTTATCAGAACCTATAAGAGCTCGAGACTTGAAGGTATGTCCTAATTCTACATAGGCAAATCATCTAGATCAGCCAGTTTCAACATTGTCCCGAGGCATCCACACTGGCATCACTGCAAATCGTTAATATACGCTATGCAGGGTAGATGCGGGCTCTAGAACAGGCTGTTGATTCTGATCAAGAATATATATACTTTATGGAGTCGGCCATGCTTCCTTTTTCCTGTTAAATACATTTGCACAAATACATAATACCCTTTTTACCCATTTTCAATGGGTTCAGAATATAAAAACGTAAGGTTCTGCAATTGGTGTTAGTAGAAGAAGATTTTTGATATTCCGTACTTGTTTCTTATATTGTGGGCTTAGATGGAAATCTGCTACCGCCGTGTTTGTTACTTGTGATGAACGAACCCCGGCCCAGACCTCTTCCCCCAACTCCAATCTCCCATGTCTGCAGGAATTTGTATTTAGTAATGTTTTATATATTTTAGAGTGCCGATGCTCTTTCATAACGACTACTTCACTTCTATTTGGAGATTTAAACGGAAATATGAATATACGCTTTACTTACTTTGCTATTAGCGTCCTGTAGCTCCAATATAAACAGTTGTGATAAGCCGCCATTAAAACCATCACTACAAGTTATCGTTAAAGATGTCATTGATATATTCAATAATGTACAGTTATGCACCTGGTCGGGTCGACCTATAAGAAAAAATTATAAACGTTGCACTTGAGAAATAAGGATAGATTACTATAAATTTTCATATATACCAAAAAGCTTGTATGCTCAGCTTTTGCATGATTAAATGGCAAGCAGTAAAAAGTATATTCATCACTTGAAGGAGATAAATTAAAATTGATTTTCGTTTACTATTAAGTTCATTAAGTAACTCCTGTATAGCTGAATATATGTTGAAATTGACCTTTTAATAATTTAGTAAATTAATGCTCGGAAACCACTAAAAATGATTAAATGGGCCAAAATAGGCTTGTGTACAACTTGAAGAAGGAATGCTCTCCGATCCAATAAGCTCTATATTTATATTCATAATCAGTATCAATAGCCAAGTCAATTTCGACGTATCAATCCGTCTGTCCGTATGAATTTTTCAGAATATTGCTTTTTTTGGACACTACGTTACTTTTCACTATTTGCTGGAATTCAAAACAAATGAATTTTCACACATAATGGTTTAGGCTTTAATATTTAAACACAGTTGGATGCCATATGCACTAAAAATGATGTAAACGGCCGGGTAATAGACACTAAAGTAAATCTAAACATAAAAGTTGTATACAAACGTTTTTCGCGATTTTCCACACTTGCGGGTGATATTTCTCAAAACCCCGTCTTAACGTGCACCCTTATCGCATATGGTATCTACAGTGAAAATTTCAGCTTCCCAGCTCTTTCGGCTTGGGCTGTGCGTTGATCACCAATCAGTCAGTCAGTCAGTCATATAGATATATTCCAGAATTTTTCACTTTAAGAGTAGTTCTGCCAGTTCCACATATAAAATTAAATTTAAGACATTTGGTCTTGGGCTTTGGTATTAACACTGTCATCCTAGTGTTCTACAAATTTGTACACACATTTGTAAGCCATTGGGGAAAGAGCAGCGCATCGACAGCATAAAATGCTGTCAGATCAGCGCATGGCTCAAAGAATCTTCAAGTTGGCCACTCCTGGCTATTGCACATTATCTTGTTACATTATACTTTCAGGACTATTGAAATTACTTTTTTTTCTTTCATTTATTCTTATCTTTTAATACATATCAGCTATTATTTATGTTCTTGACTATCGTACTTCAGAACACTAGCAATACTGGTATGCCGACAACAGTTTTAGAGATGTACACAGCTTCCCCATGTCAGCCATCAGTTTGGGTGTACACGCCCGTCATCCACTCCAAGTCTAACCAAGAGCAGAACCCAGAAAAGTGTGAATGGTTAGAAAAGGGGATCAGGCTCCAAACCGGCTTCAAATAACTTGGAAGACCTTCTTTTTGGGAAATAAAAGAAATAATTAACAACATTGAGGAGGTATTCCAATCAATCAACAAAAAAGGCTGGTCCAGGGAATAGCACGCTTGTTGTTATTCAAAAATTATTTGAAAGATAGCAAGATCACCATAAGCCTCATGTCGCTAGCAGTTGTATTCAGATATCGATAACAAATTAATTTTGCCACTCCATTGCCAGATTTTTGCTCAAAACATCCAGTATCATTCAATCTGTTGATACAAATGTGTGCTTGTGTGCTAAGGTACTGGATACAGCATTATGTAAGCCTGTTTCACAACTTCCAAATTTGTCTGTAAGCACTTTATTTTTTTTGACTATTTGGAAAGAATCATTATCCTTCACTATAAGAAAGGGAGTAGGTCCGATGCCGAAGTCTATACCAATAGCTTTTGAAAGAATAATAGTATCTGAACTGTAACAGTTATGTAGTTCTATTAATTCCAGAATATTTTGGTGAAGCGTAGATTTACAACCACTTACCTTACCCTAAATTATGCCGTCTCAGTTGCCCAGTCAATCTCTTGAACTGCATTTCAGACTATTTGCGTAGCAGAACGCAAAAGGGTATTTTCAGACATTCGTTTTATAAACATATTCTGGTGACTTCGGGTGTTCCTCAGGGTAGTCATGTTAAACTTGACTCGATTCATCCTTGCCTTCTTTTCATGACCTTTCCTAGATACTAACTCATTCTCTTGTATTAATGTGTGCTGATGATGTTAAATTATGCCTTGCATATAAAAATCAGGCATCATTTTATCTTTTAAAAGGATGTTACTGTTACCGACCTCAACTGGACTGGGTAAACTTTAATTATAATTTTCATTTTTAAATAACACCTCTAGGATATCTGATATGCTAACTGGGTAAACTTTAATTATAATTTTCATTTTGATATACCACTTCTAGGATATCTGATATGCTTACATTGGTGAGATGCTTATTGTTAATTTCTTCAACATCAATGTCAAAGTGGTGGTGCTCATCGAGTTTATTTTCATCAACGTTATTGTATATATTAAATTTTACAAATTTTTTTAGCGTATAAACTGTTTCATACAAGTGTTTTGTGTCCATACTGACTTTTCACACATGAACACGTTACACCAAGTCTAACTTACTCCCTCGGTATAAATATATCAAAAACTAGATAGGATTTGTAAGAATAAATCAGTATCCAACAAGTACTCGAGTTAAACATAAAATAGTTCACTGTCCGCTTTTTAAATGATATTTAAAAACTCGTTAAGCCGTACCTGTTCTCATATATTTATTTTTATTTGATTATTTACTGACTCTACAATCAACAAAATCGGTATTTCCTGCTGGTAATGAACTTCTAAAGTCACTATATGTAAGGATCTGACTCATATGTTCCATGCCAAAAGAAGGTACTTCTGGTCTCGTCAGCGTAAGTTTTGAATAATAATACCGCGTTAGTCGTGACTCCTAAGAACCTATAGTCCCAGATTGCTATGTCATCGTCTATTATAGGCATGTGATCTGAGTATTAAGTTAAGTTACAAGGATAAAATTACTTATCTTAAAATATTGCGACTGATACGTATTTTAACCTAGAACATGTTGTTGTTCTTATGGACCACCCTCTCCCTAATAAGAACTAAAGTGCTCAGATCGGCCTCTTTAACTTATTCCAAACATAGCGTTTTCAACTAATTCAATATTCGTTTGTTTGTTATTATACAAACTATGTCTCCTACTTATTGTTCTCTGATGTTTGCGTTTGGATGCTTTCCTGGATTATATCTCTGATAAGCGTTTTAAATTCTACCAAAACTGCATGCAAGATTTCAGTCGACTTATTTTAATAACTGAGTGTATTGTTTTGTAGTATTATTGAGTGAGAAATAAGGTCAATCGATTATTGTATCTGCGTATCGATTTTCAAGAAACGTGCAATTTCTATCCATGCATGATTTCAAGCGGCTTATTTTTATAACTGAGTGTATTGTTTTGTAGTATTATTGAGTGAGGAATAAGGTCTATCGATTATTGTATCGATTTTCAAGAAACGTGCAATTTCTATGCGAGTGTTAAGTAGCCTTTTGACTCGTCTATCCAAAACTGGCTGTAATGGAAAAATGTTCGGGAAAATGTTTATCAATTGTGGTAATAATGATTTGATTACACCACTGCAGGTGCGGATAATTTATTTATGCAGGTCAGGAAATACTTCTCATCCGTGAAAAAAACATCTTTGTGGAGAACTTCGCTGTTATATATGGGATAGGAGTTTTTCGTAAAAACTTTTTTATTGGGTTGGGTCTCTTCGATCTCAATAATGTTCTGCTATCATGATTTCCCTTCTCTCAATTTTGTTGGTGATATCTAGGAAGAGATATCTTGCATGCCTTAATGTGGTTGACAGGAATGGTTCAACTAATTTGTATTTGTTTAAAGCTAATTTAGGAGTTCGCAGAAAATGGCGTTAACAACGTCTGCTTCAATTATTTTTATTTTTATTGAGATGATTTACCTTTCAAAAAAGAGGAGGCTGGAAATCTCTTATTGCCCGCACTTTTTCAAGAGAGGAAGTGATTCCAATTCCCTTTTTTAAGAAACGTATTCCTGGCACATTCATGCTTTCGTCGCACAATGTCCTAAGGACTTTTATGTGGTTTCTTTATTGGCTGAAAATATTACGTCGTCTACGCGAATGTGATTAGTTTTGGCCATTAGTTCCAGCAGGACATGATTAACTGCCCGCTCTCTCTGATGGAAACCTGACTTTAAGGCTAAGATCGTGAAATACTGGGATTTTCCCATGTTGGACAATATTTACGTAACAGCGGATATCAGATATTTCTCATCAATGGTCTGCTGGTTTAATTTTCGGAAATCTATTACTAATCTCTTTTTCAGGGAGCCAAGTCATCATCACCTTTTTTGTCCACTATACAAATTGGGTTGCAATAGGGAGATGGACGGACATTGCTTAGTTGAAATAATTTAATACTTGAAGTCTAGTGTAAGTTAGGTTTAGAGCGGAGCGAGAGCACCATGAAGCGTTCAATGACAGTCGTCGAATTATAATAAGCCAATTAGCAAGAAGCGCATCAAATGTGCGACTTATAAGGCCACCAGTTTTCTAAGTAATTATACAAAAGCATATAATGTTTAAAAGACAATTTGAGATAAATAAATAAACTTAAGTGATGAAGCGCAACTAGCTGTGGGCTGCGAGTGAATTTAAAATAAAACGTCAAATTAATTCGCGTCAGCCGAGATCAACTAAATAATTATCTGTCCTGCTGCTATCAGGAGATGCCAAGGAGCGATGCTTTCAAAGAACGTCCAGCTACTGTACTGTGATAAGAACTGAAAGCCCAACTCTATTGGCTTGGTTGCCCTAATGAAGGCAACGCTTTAAATTCATGGCACATATGTAAACTAGATGAGCATAATTTAAATTTGCATGCACTTATTAATTGCTTTGAAGATTTATACATAAAATGTGCTTTTTTAGTGCTTCTGAGCGAATACTAGTAAGTGTCAAAAATCAATTGTCATTTCAATTTCATTTCGCTTAGTCGATGTCGTATTCCTCCTCTTGACATCGGTCGCAAAAGCTGTAGATTATTTAATTAGTGCAGATTACTCATACATACACACGTACATAGAACGCCAACTGTAGTCTATTTATTATCCCCTTG